ATGAACAATTAATACATTAATTCAAATGTTCAGAATAAATGTATGAATAATATGCAATTAATTAATTTCCTTTAGATGTATTATATTTCTTGCGTTTTCTATGTTCAAAAATAAAATAAAGATTCAAATTTATATGTAAATCAAGAAAAAAAGCAACAAGTATAACTAAAAGAAAAATCTACTTAAATATGTATTTATTTAGATCGTGTTATGTTTATTATATTTACTATACTTTCAAAAATTATTTTAGAAAGGAATTAGATTGTGCTATTAGTCAATGAGAAATAAGAGTTGGCAGAAGCCGACCAATGAGTTTGTTAAACACAATACTGATGCGTTTCGGAACTCAAAGAGACCACGTTTTACCTACCTGCTGCTGAATGATTGAACATACCAAACGATACACGAATATACATTTTCGTCATGTTTATAATTTAATACATTTATCCACGTTTATCCTTGTGTTTATTCGCTGACTTTGGTAACAAAAATACAATTCGGTAAGAGGGAACTCTTTCAGTTAAGTTTCGAGCGGAATTATTTATTATGAAGAGTGATCGCGTTGGACTGTACGAACTGTGATTAAAAAAAACGATTTTGCAAATATGTGGGCAGATACTATTCTAATTTTGTTTATCAGTATATGCACGGCGTTACTAGGCGAAGGTAAGAATACAAATGCATCAATAAACATAGAGGAAGAAAAGTAAAATGGTATTTATTTCAATTCAACATGTTTACTTTTCATTATACCGTTTAGGGTTGACATGGTTGATGGTGTACAGAACTGAAAAATATCAAAAATTGAAGGCCGAGGTTGAGAAGCAAAGCAAAAAGCGTGAGTTTTTCCTAAGATATGCTCTGTACATAAAAATAATGACTATATCAACATGCTTATTCTTATCTTTTAGTGGAGAAAAGAAAAGAGGCACATGGTGATTCTTTGGACAGGCAACAAAAGAAAAAAATCGAACGGGAGGAGGAGAGGTTGAAGAACAACAATCGAGACCTGTCCCTTGTGAAGATGAAGTCTATGTTCGCTATTGGATTTGCGTTTACAGCATTATTAAGTATGTTTAACAACATATTCGATGGACGAGTGGTCGCCAGATTACCGTTCGTCCCGATCAGTTGGATACAAGGCTTGTCACATAGAAATCTCCCGGGCGACGATTACACGGAGTGCTCATTCATATTTTTGTACATATTGTGTACAATGAGTATTAGACAGGTAAGTCTGGCTTGTCTTAATTGCGTGGGGAAAAAGTATAAATACTTTTTTGATACTTCTCATTTCTAGAACATCCAGAAAATGCTTGGCTTCGCGCCATCCAGAACTGCAAGCAAACAGAGTGGCAGTATCTTTGGACCTCCACCTCAGCAATTTAAATAAATTTAAATTTAATAAATTGTTACAGGTATTTTTACAGAGATCTCTTTTATACATCTTATTGTGTGATTCTGAGAATTTATTTGTATCTAATCTTTATAATCTTCACATACTACTTCCTGCATTGAATTATATGTAAATGTCGGATTTTCCTACAATTTTTAATCTTTGAATATGAAATAACTTACCTTTGCGCTTATTGAAAAATATGTTAAAATCTGTTTGTTAAATTGACGAATTTAATAGAGTAAAATAGAGTTGTGATACAAGATATCTTGAGATACCATGTTATTTTAGTGAGTATATGTTATATATAATAAAGGATATTTTTAATTCACAAAATTATTGAACAATTTTAAAAAATAATTGTGACTTGTGTATTTTTTTAAGCTTATACAACATGTTATGTACAAACGTAATGTTCAACCATATACAAAAAAGTGTAATTAATCATCTTACAAGGTAAAAAATTTGCAATTGGGCTACCATGATGATTCAGATTACAAAGAATTATTACATGATTTTGTACATCAAACTCGAGAAAATTAATTCAAATAATATCAAGTCGATTATAACTTTAAAGGCATGTACATATTATTCTCATTAAATATTACTGTTCTGGTCTTTTCATTGTTACACAACTAATTGTAAATCTAACAGTCTATCATTATATAGAGAATGGTCTGCTTATATGTATATATAATGCAAACATATTTACAAAGAATCTACACATAAAAATTATTATTCTATTATACTAAAATATATGAACTTGTCCTCATTTTTTGTTAAACTTTCGCTTCCAGCAAGACGCAGCACCACGTTCCAAAGTGTGAGCTTGTCACATTGAAATTCCTATTCCATTAGGAATTACTCGAATATTATTATTGACATTGTTTCTATCTCAGAATTTTTTCAATTATTTTAAGCACGAAGTGATGGTAACATACAGCATGAGTCTCAATAAAAAATTTCAAGAATGTGTGTAGAATATTTTAACTGTCATTAATATAATTCAACTTCTTTACTTTTTTGAATCATATTTGAAAACTATATTAAATAATTATAATCTCGACAATGGGATATATAAACATGAAAGGAAAATAAGGAATATATGAAAAAAAGGAGACAAAAATCTCAAATGTCGACGATATAATTCTAGAAATAAATCGTAAAAGAATTCAAAGAACTGAAAAAAGGATTAATTTAACAATCTCTCAAATGCTCTGCTGTCCAGCAGCCGATATGAATTTAGTATGGTTACAATTCAATTTTACAATGCGTTTGCAATCGACTATATCGAATGCTGTGACAACTTTATATCACATTCATTGAAATGTCATCATATTTACATAACTTTTGAACGCATCGAGTATTATCAGATAGAAATACTATTCATATGTAGTCAAATGCTCTTTAAAAAAAAATTGCACATTAATCACTTAATGATCACTTTGGGAATTGCCTATCGCGCATTGTTCGCGTGCACTCGAATCTGCTCTCCAGACAAATTGTCGGTACAAGTCCCATAGGTAAATCATCAATAATATGAATATTTCATTAAAACGCTGCCAAGTAATCCCATTCCTCTTCTGCTTCGTCACTTTTTGGATACCTCCAATTGAAGACATGCTTTCAATATCACTCAGTCAATATTAAATCACTAGTATCCAATTTAATTATCACACTATTTCAGTTTCACTTTTAAAACGGCGGACAGTTTACACCAGGATGAAGATATTGGCATTTATCACCGACTCGACAAAAACCGTTTTTCGAAAATTGTCTACATACCGGTGGCTGTTTTCCACTTCCTCGCCATCCACCTCCGCCGACACCTCTCCAACCACCTCTAACAGGTCCACGATAACCCCAACCAGGACCACCTCTACCTCTATTGTGCATATGAGCGCCTCTCGGACCTGGAAAGTTAGGTCCAGGAGGACCGTACATCGGTCCGGGCGGACCTTGAAAATTATTGTACCCCATGTCATCTGGGCACATCATGCCATAGCCCTCTTGATTATACATGGGCGGTGGTCCCATCATTCCCGGTGGTACCATGGGAGTACCTTCCATCCCTTGATTAAAACCACCCGACATGTTTGTCATTGGATTTATATTAACGTCTGGCACGAGAACTTTGCCATCGCCTGTTCTCCAACCACCACCACCGGTGGCTGGCATTGGTCCCGCCATTTCCTGAGTCATGGGAGCCATGTGTGTAGGAGGCATCATCTGTTGCGGCATTTGCGGCATGGGGCCCATTGTCGATTGAGGTCCCATAGGTGTCATCATGTTCTGTTGATTGTGCGGATACGTCGTCGGATAATGGAACGTCGTTACAGTTGATGGTTGTGGTGGTTGTGGTTTGGGTTCCGGCCATGGTATTGCTGTGAAGTCCTTCTCGCTCTCCTTGTTGCCCGTGAGATCTTCTAATGGTATTATTTTAGGATCGGTCAGTAGATGGTGTCGTTCTTCATCAGGTTCGGCCGCAGAATCTGGAATCCTATAATATAAAAATGATCAGAATTGAAAATTTCTAACTGATCAGAATTGAAAATTTGAATATATACTACATACTATATTATTGAGTGTATTCAGATGCGCAATCGCTCACTGAGTGCTCAGGGAGCTTTTTCATTAGTCTATTTCAAGATCTAACAGAATAATCAGATGAAAGAGCTCACTGAGCGGTTCAGTAAGCGATTGTGCATCTGAAAGTGTCCATTCTGTGTAAGATGTTTTATCTGTGATAGTTTTCTAAAAACATATTTTTGTTTTCATTACACAAAACTCATCAATTTATTTTTGTGCAAATAGTAATAATAAAATGGGCTAGAACAGTCCCTAGTATAATCTAGATTTATAGAAACTAAAATTATAAAAAAGGCTATGGGAATCAACATAGTTAAAAGTGCGATTATGTATTATATATTATGTTTATTATAATTATTACATAATTATAATGTAGCAATGTATAATAATTAAACGTTTTATTTTTTTTAATCATCCTCAATAAAACGCCTTCTAAAGGTAACAAAATAAGTGCAGCATTTCCATACATTGTATAAATTATTCAACAGTTTCCTGATTCATTGAAATCAGAAACTGTAAACATAATATAATGTGTGTTGTCACATACAATATAATGAAAGACTCATAAAATTATAACAGACATTCGCCACGAACCCTCACAATCCAATAGTGAATAGAATTTTTGTACAGAAACGATGATCAAACATTAATAAAAAATGTGAGTGATAAAATTTTTTTTTTAAATAATTTATAATACTTATGTAAAAATTATAGTGAGGCAATGATTTTGCTATGTCCATTTCTAATGTAAAATTGTAAATAAATGTTGTCGAATTAGACTAAAATCATGCAGGGATTTATCAAGATTTTTGTTAAAAAATACAAAATATTTAGCTACTATTGAAAATCGCAAAGTACGCAGAATCTAGATTTTCGGTATCTGTCTGTAAGTTAAGAACATTATTGTTTAATGTGTATTATTTTTGACATGAATCGCACGCGCGCGTGCTTATTAAAAATACTTTTCAATATCCAAAATTTTCACATCTTTCCAATGAAATTCATGATTGGTCGTTCAGCAGACTCAACTATTGCAGAGTGGATCCATAGCTCTGCTATTGTATTCTTTTATACGTGATCTATAATGAGCAGTAACAGTAAAAACTTAAAAAATAAGCTTAGAAATCGACTAATCAGTTGATTATTACTCTCATAACTATGATTGATTGATTTCTATTCTACGCCTCCTCTTTAATTCTACTGCTTTAATCTAACTTTAATCTAACTTTAAATTTACTGCTACTATCTATTGTAGATTATGTATTAGATCATTCAATAGCAGCAAATGTTCACGGATCTACTTCACAACAGTTGAGTCTACTGTACACAATCATTGGGAGCATTCAGAATAATTGCTCACTGAACGCTTAGTGAGCTCTTTCGTCTGATTGGCATATTCCATTAGATTCTAAAATATAGACCAATCAGATGAAAGAGCTCACTAAGCGCTTAACGAGCGGTTGTCATTCTGAACGGATCAAATGATCATTTAGCAGACTTAACATGTATTTTTTTTAATCTAAAATTCTTTTTAGAATTTTAGATTAAAATTTTTTTAATCTAAAATTGGATGAGTTAAAAGAATACATCAATAACAGTGAGTGCTCACTCAACTGTTAAGTCTATCTGCTGAATATGCCCATTATAACGCATTCTATGTTTCGTTATAACCGAATGTGAAGAATATTTCTTTTAATATGATTAAAATGTTCTGAAATTCTAATTTGGGTTTGTAATTTTCTATCTGTTTGACCCATCACAATCACTACAATTTATGTGATAAATAATGTTGCTTTTAGAGGAATCTTGAAAGTCTTTATAGCACTTTAATAAATTTATCTAATTTATTGAAACTGAAAAAAAAAAAACATTTTTGTATGTACATTATAATGTACATAATCTCTCTAAATTTGTTGGAAATATTTTTAATGTACAGTGAATTAGTTTTAGAATTACTATTGCTAGCCTTTCTTTGTCGTACAAAGCAGAATGTTCAAAAAGTGATTTCGACTCCCAAGATACACCTGAATAGAACTTAGAAAATCATTGTTTGGTTTCTCAGAAAATAGGAAATAATAATCGTTTGTCCGGGAGGTGGAAAGTGAGAACATTGTTAGAACGGCTAAAATATGTAGTAAAAAATAACATTATTCACATATACAGTTAATAAGTGAAAAATATTGATTTTAGTCAGAAATGTATAAATACATTCTTCATATAAAGATTGCGGACTAAAAAAAAAATAAAAAACTGCGCAGAAATTGCTGTGATTAGTAGTGAGCAATTGCTATAGTGTGTAAGTGAATCACTCCTTCCAAGATGCACCAGGTGGAGATCCGCCTAGTATTTCTTGATACAGATCATGACTCCACAATTCATCATTCCTGTAATATTTAGCGACTCCAAACTTTCTCTGCTATGCGTGCGTACTATGTGTGTATACTTAAATATGTGTGTTTAATATCCCTCAATATATAATACATTTAGTGACACGCAATTTCAACAACAAAAATATTGCGATAGAATATTTTAATTACTAGAGCAAAAAGAAAGAGTGATAAACATGAAACGATTGGAACTATTATTAGTAAATCCATTGCTGGGCCAATTATCTTATTTTGTGTATTATATGATGAAATCGCAAATATAGAAGGAGCAATGTAAAGCTATCAATAATAAAGATTTTTGAGTGTCATTTTTTATTATATTTAAGTCATTCTAGCAATGTTCCTATTACTTCCCGGACAAATGAGTGTTATTTCTGAAGATCCAAACGATGATTTTTCAAGATCTATTCAGATATACCTTGAAAATCAAAATCAACACTTTTTTAACATCCTCCTTTATTATTAACCAAACACTTTAATCATTCAAAAATTATGTTAAAAATAAAATTAATCGAGTTATCATTCTCTAACAAAATACTAATTATAAATTCCAAATTCCTCTGGTTGGATGCGAAAATACTTTTTTATAATTTTAGTTTCAATATTGAAAAGTTCTTATTACTTATTATTGTTTATTAGATTTATAGATATTATATATTCCTTTATTATTCCTCGCTTATTTACGAAGTTAAGCAGTCAATCCTAGCCCTGCATTAAACTTATGAGACTGCTTATTCTTTTCTTCTAGATCCTCTGGCTCAATAAACATATAGCCCCAAAATCTGTATTTTTTTACAAGCGAGCATAGAACAGTGGCGAGTTTAAGGTCATATAGGTGACCATTGGGTCATACATTCTGTAAGAAGGCCAATCTCAGTTTCTTTCTCCCCATTGCATTGTCATTAACTCTTTTTTGTCCTGATTGACTTGTTTCATTAATTGGATTGTCGACAGCCCTTTACTATCTAATGGGAGCTTAGATGCTCCTGCTCCAATCAATCTTTGATGATTCTTTTATTCACGAAAAAGAGAACTGTAAGTTTGATCAGACGGAAACACTTCTAATTTTTCAGCTTTAATAGACTATCCGCTCTCTCATTTCCAAGTACGATCTAATGTCCAAGGATCTACATTAGAGTAACGTAGTTCGTTTCGTCTAGTTTGACTAATGTTGTATGCAGTCTCAAACTACAGAGACGATTCTATAGAAGTGTGCTTTAACAGCTGTTGTGCTATTTGAGCAGATGTAAATATGGTTTCTTGTATTGTTTAGTATTTTTGTACAATAAATATGTTATAAAATAAAAATTTCATTTCGTTGTCGCGAGTCGTTAAAATATCAACGAAATTATTATTACGTACATGCTTCGATTAAAATAAAGGGCTTGTAGAATGCCCTTCTCACGAGCATATTGAATATCCTTCTCTTTGCTGTCCTTCCCGGGGTCCACTAATGGAGGAGGCAAATCAATCGGAATTAAAGGTTTCCATCTCGTTCTCTCTTCCATTAAATCTTCATTATCTAATAACACAAAAAAGCCTTTTATATATTATATTCTGTATATATGTATATGTATACATACATACATACATACATATACATATATATATATATATTATTATACTTTATATAAACACAGATACTTAATGATGTAATTATAGGTAAAAGAATTATATTATTATCTTATGAATAACATACTTAATTTTCGGGCCATCTGGAATGCTTCCCTCTCATTTTGTTTTTCCATCTGTTTCATGTCGGTAAATGTCTTCGTTACGTTAACTCTTTCCGTTTCATCCAATTCGAAATAACGTATAGATTCTAGATCTGTTTTCCACTTCAAAACCTTTTTCGGCCCTTTACGCTTTTGAAGTAGCAGAACGCTTTTAAGTCCATCTACATATCGTATTTCGGGATAGGAACTATCCTTCTTAATCGAATCTGAAACTACCGAAGACGCATCTTCTGGTGATTCTACATCTTTCATTTCTTCCACATCATCCTCGGGTGTCGGTGCTATAAAACAAATATATATTAATTATTTAGACAATTTTACCTTATTTTAATGGTAATACAGAAGAATCATTTGTAATATTAAGGTGTATTATAATAATAACATTAATTTTTAATGTATAAAAAATATTAAATTATATATGTAAATAAAATAAAGCCATATAATTATATAATTTTTTATGTGCAGTTTAATTTTTTAACGAAGATATCTTTCTTCTTATGTCCACATTTATTTTAATTTCTCAACTAATAACATTTCTATGGCTTATAGTAGTAGGCGTACCGTATTTTCGTGATTACGGTGTAATGCAAGTTTTATGCACAAAGTACGATTTTACTATACCGTTTCAACTGGACGATATGGAGCCAGTGCTATTTAAAATTTGAAAATGGAAGTTAACCAGTAGTAGGATTTTAGCGCAAAATGAAGTAGTGTACACTATATGGTGTGTACTCCAGTGCAGAGTTGCACTGGAGCAACTGGTGCGGTACAGAATTTACACGCAACTGGCTATTCAGTGCATTCTAAAGGAAAACGCTATAACTCTTTCTTTTTAGTTCTAAGAATTAAAAAAAGATGAAGAGCGAGTTAAACTGAGATTGAAGTTAATCTACATTGGTAGAAATAAGCATTAATGAGTTAAAATAATGATAAAATACATACTATTACTTCCAATATCATCATCGTCTCTATTGTCTTTCTCTTCATCAAGCATCAGATCTTTATCTTTCTTCGATTCTTCTTCGCCAATTTCTCTTTCTTTTTGATCTTTATCTTCATCTATTTCTAGCGTGTCCTGATAAAACTGTAAAAAAATGTAGTTATTATGTAATGAATTTCATACAACTATATAGTATAATAATATTATATCCAACTCTATTCGGCATATTTACCTTAAAATTAGGTTTGAGAGCAACCGGCGATTTCTCTTCAACATTTGAAGGCGAAGGCGGTGGCGTGCTCTCGCGATTATCGGAATTAACAATTTCTTGTTTCTTAGTTTCTGACGGCCCATCTTTTGTGATCGAAGCTCTCCGTTTACGTTTCCTTGGTTCCTTGCTTTTGGTAGACGCAGTGAGAGCATCCATGAACATGTCACTTTCTTGTAGCATCATCGCTGAAAACAGAAAAAAAATTGAGAAATTATCGTTAATGATGAGAAAACAACAATAAATTATCGAATCTGTAACTTCTCTCTCTCTCTCTCTCTCTCTCTCTCTCTCTCTCTCTCTCTCTCTCTGTTAGTAAAAAAATATTTTGCAAAATTTAATTTCAACTTTGCTATTCTGGTATCTGAAATTGAAAGCAATTGAGAAACGTAAATACGAAAATCTGCAGTGTCCACAATATTAAAGTCGAATAAATATTTCAAGATTTTCTAAAAGAAATAAGAGAGCAGCACGTCCTGGAAATTCTGCTTAAAACAATTCTGAAAAACAGCGATACATTTCATCGTATATAAAAATTTATAAATATACAGCGTTTCTCCTAACATTGGCATAATTCCACAAAGAAACTCTTGACACTAAGATGAAACGAATTAGTACAGATGTTGTTTCTGAACTCCATTTCTGAACTCTCAATTCTGATGAATTATTCTTGTCTCGTTAAATAATTCTTTTTGTCAATTTTTTCAATAATTTTAATTCACTATTTAAAAAAAATATATTTATATAAACTATACTCATCATATTTTCTGAATTCACATCTGAAATTATGCCTGAACAGTAAGAAATACTTGTATATACAATTATATTTTCAAGCTGCAATCTTATATATTTGTTTCTATAAATGGATTTGTGATTTGCAAAAATTTTTACGTAAAAATATTATGCCAGTAGTCGCAAAATCACGACGAGTCATTCATTGCTTTAATAATATTCGGTATTCGGCATTCAGTATCTGAAAAAATAAAAAAATATTTCCCACTTTTCAGCAGCTGCAAATAAAATACCAGTTCTTTAATGTCAAGAAACACTTTTCATAATGAAAATTCATAACGATAATTAACGATAATTTGTTTGCGAAATGAGTTTATCTTCAATTCTGCTCAATACATCCTGTAAGAGAAAAGATAGACTTAAACTAGTAATATATTTTTTGAAAGAATTTTTTACATTGTCTCATGTATACATATATATATATATTACATGAAGATGATTTTATACATGTTTAAAAATTACCATATATTATATTATTTGTCTCTTTATAATTATCAGTAAGTGGACTAATAAAAGGTATTATAACTAAACATACAACTAAAAATCTTATTAATCGCAAATAAAAGGGAACATAAATATCAAAACATTATAGGTTAAAAATATTGTATGTACATAATAATTTTAAGTAATAAAGAACAGAATTTACAAAAAA